CCCTCCAAATGGACATTTTACCGACAGAAATGGTATTTTCAATGTTTGAAAAACATTATTCCCTTAAACCAATCCAGTGAAACGGACAAGTCTTGCGCATATTCTTACTATATTGTTTCTATAGTGTAGAGTATTACCATGGCAACATATTATTATTGTGGCTATTATTTTGTTAATGTCATCATCATTTATGGATATTAATAACATTAAGATATGTGATATGAGTGTCACTGATACTTGTCAATGTTAATTATTCCTATTGCATTTGTCCTATTACTGTTTATGAATATTCCTATTCCATGATCCTACTAGTATTGCATTATTATCTACATTACTAGTATACCGGTATACCTAAATTTTTCTAAACCATCTATAACTGGGCCATGGCTTCCATGGCTATGTTAGTCATAACCAGAGGGTATATCCCATTAATATCCCATTAAATCACTATAAATCCCATTAAACCACTATAATATCCGATTAAATTTGAGGTTTCTAGTGGCACAGGATGCCTGAGGTCTTTCTAAAGCACCCTCGACCTGTCCGTCAAACTCACCCATCACGGCCACCGTGAAATGCAAGCGTCAAGTTTTTGAGATGCGGTGATTTTGGGGCTTCAAATTTAGTTAAATGGGTATGGATCAATACCTATAGATACATTTTTAGGTGGATGAACATCCATTTACCAGCTATTTTGATGTTCACCAGGGGTACAAGGTTTTGACACACTGCCAAATTATTATCCTATCATATTATCGTGTTACATGACCTATTCATACCTATTACTATAACATGATCTATTCCCAACATAATCCCCATTCTGATTCTGATTCTGAGTTTTTCGTAGCAGGGACCATTCTGTTCCGTAGCAATTGTAGTGAATATGTTTTTAAATAGCCAGATTCTATCTACTCTACTCCAGGATGACTCTATATATACATATATATATATATATGTATAACCAATGATGATCTGATTGGTGGGTTTTGAAATGGTCCAATCCCCCCAACGAGATTGGTGGGTCTTCCATATTCAATAGCAAGCACTGGTTCATCGAGACCGGCGAAGAATCGCTGCTGTTTCGAAGTCCAAAATCTTGCCAAAACTTTGTGACGGTTCTGTTGTTTAAACCAGCATCCAAAGTTAAAACCCCACTGGTTATATCTGGTATTGATATAGTTTAATAGAAACCTGTAAGAAATCTATAGAAATCTATAGAAATCCCAACCACAACACCGTCGAAAATGGTCGTTTTCGGTGACTCCATTTTTGTTCCACCGAGGCTACCGGCACTTCTTGCGGCCGCCCTTGGTGGATGCCCGGGGGCCCGGTCTGGTGTTGAGCATTGCTGGTGTTTTAACTGACAAAACATGGGGATTCAACCAGTGAATTAATCAGGCTTTATATAATTGTGGTATAATGGATGATGGGTGAACCATGAAACATGGATTGTTTGAATATCATGCTTTAATAACGTGGTACCCTCTGGTAAACAGCCACATAGCTATGGAAAGATCCACCATTGAAACAATGGGAAAATCCACTATTTCTATGGTCATTTTCAATAGCTATGTGGCTGTTTACCAGAGGGTACAATGGGTGATGGGTGAACCATGAAAATTTTGAGTTTGCATCATCAAAAATACGATGGGATTTTTTGGCAAGAACATAGGGGTACTGAAAGGGTATTCGGCCATTGAACTTTCTTGGGATCCAAGCATGTGCTACTTATAAAGCCGACCTAATGGCCAGAAAATCATGAGCGAATTGTCAATCAGATAGCTCGAGGAGGCGCGGCTTGGGTGGTTCTCTATGGGGACACCTCAAGATTCGGCGTCTTCGTTTCAATCATGATTTCAGTTTGTTGCTTGTGGGTTATTATTATGGTCTCAAATTTAATACATTTGCTATTCATGTATGACCCACCAATCCATGTGTCCCAGATCTGCATTTGACACCGTGGTATCTGGCTGCTCAGGGGGTTGATCCAGGCTGGCAAAGCCCGGTCTGGCAGTCTGACAGGAAGATGTTGGCTGCCAGTGGCTATGTAGAGCCAAGGGACTCTGACTTGATTGATCTTCATGTTGTATGCCTGAATGGTGAAGGATGCAGGTTGAAACGGTTGAAACGGTTGAAACTTGGGACTTAGCCACTCTGGAGCGGGACGTGCGATGGTTTCCAAGCACCTCCCCAAAAAGGTGGAAAACTCGCTCTGCATCACCATGATTCACCGACACTGCAACACACGTTGCAACAAAGAATCGTGGGGGAAGCTGCAACGCTCTCGTGTACATATGTTCCAACAAAATCCAACAAACCTCTATGCTGCATCGTGCTTCTTGTACGGAATCCTAGTCTCTGACGGAGAGATTGCACTAGAAGGGGTGACCAAGATAGAAGGTATAGCAAGAAGTGCCCCTGCCAAACAGTCTTCAAAGCTTGGCATTTGGCCAAGAATTTATCCAGAGCTTGCAAGGAGTGATGCTGCCAAGCAGCCTTGAGAGCTTGACATTTGGATACTGTTTCAACCAGAGGCTGCAAGGAGTGCCCCTGCCAAGCAATCTTCAGAGCTTGACATTTGGAGACAGTTTTAACCAGGGCTTGCAAGGAGTGACACACGGCACTCTTGAGAGCTTGACATTGTGCGGCTGCAAAGTTTCTATTACAAGCTAGAAGGGGCTGCTGCCAATCTCTCTTGACCAATTTGTATGGCTCCATGTGTATGCGCAGGCTGTGATAGGCTGAGGACTACAAAAAGAGACACTATAGAGACACCTTCATGCCATTTTAAGCAGCTGATTATGATCCTGATGTTCAATGTTGACAAGGCCATACAAGGCCAATACTAATGCGGATTCTTGCCGTTTGTGTGCCGACTACTGTTCGTAAATGAATGTTCTATTCGTTGGTCTTGTGAAGTCGGCTTGCCAGTTTTGTCCGTAGACATGGACTTATTCTGCAACAGGTGCGCATGTTGCTTGATTTTGGCCCATGTTCGCCAATATTCCTCTTTGTTGTCAGTTTTTGCGGGTGCAATGGGCTCATTATATTGTTATTATATGTTATTATATTGTTATAGTTCTTATTGTTGTTGTTGTTGTTGCTGGTGTTGTTGTTGTTGTTGTTGTTGTTTGTTTGTAATTTGTTGGCCAGGCTAGGCCCTTTTCTTGTCAAAAAAGTGCTCATTGTTGGTTTTCGCTGGTCTACTCTTGTCCTTGACCTGTGTACTGTCATGGACAATGCGAAACCAGGCCATTTTTAGCCATACCTATGACTTGTATGACACAGAAATTCCATGAAATTCCAATCCTTGTTGATTAGATTCTGATAGTTCTTGGTTGCTCATCCCCATTGTCGGTGAATCGCGTTGTCTGACAGCCACCTGCAACGGAAGCTGGACGCTTTGACCGTTGCAAACGTGGATAGTGGTTGAAACTGCCACATGTATCCAAATGTGAATTATTTCCAGTAATGCGTTGGATTATGCTTCAAATGCGTCTGCTTTGGCCACCTGAATTCATGGTAGAAGTATGTATATATATATAATATAATATAATATATATATATATATTATATTATATATATATATATATATATTGGTGACAAATGGTGATAAATTCCGTAGAACTGGGTAACAAACTGGGTCTTTTCGAAAAAACACCGCGCTCCACTGTGGTTTCATTTCGGCCTGGACGGACACTTTGACGGACCAAGCGTAGTCGTCTGCGTTGAGCAAGTGCGACCGGCACATTGGTAAAGTTGGTAAAGCCATGTAAAGCCACAAAACCACAATCTCTCAGGATCTCTCAGGATCTCTCAGGGCAGAAGAAGTGGTGACATTATGACGTTTGGTAGGTTTATCTTTGGGACATTTTGGGACAACATTACCCCCTCAGAGAACAGACATTTCACGAATCAATGACCTTCCAAGATCTTTCACCAGGATCAGCTGGATATACACGAACGAGGCATTTAAGGCATGCATCGGATACGGACATTTTAGTGCTGGTACAAGAGAACATACCGGGCATTTTATGATGGCTAGATTCACGTCCTTGATGGTCAAGCCCTGATATTTTCGTGTTCAAGTCCAAACTTTGTGATGGGTCAAAATCCATTTTTTGGATACATCCAATGATTTAAGTGTATGATTGTATGTATGTAAGTGTAAAAACTCAAGAAGAGCGATTTTGTGATGGACGAAATTCCAATTTTCATGGTCAACTCCCCATTGATTCTATGGTTTTCGCTGCAGCGTTGCCAGCTGAGGTGGACGTCTTGGCAAGCCCAGAGGCAGACCCTGCACAGGCGCAGCAGTGTTATGCATGAATAGGGAGTTGATAATGGGTGAAGAATGGTGATTAATGGTTAATTATGGATGAGTAGTGGCTAGAAATGGGTGTGAATGGAACTTCATAGTGGTTATGAATGGATGAATGGTTGATAATGAGTATAAACATTGCAATAACCTCCATGAAATGTAGTACGACCAAGCCCCTCTAACCATGGCGATATTATATTACATTATAGTATATTATTATACTATATATATATATTATATTTTACTATATATTATATTATATTTTACTATATATTATATTATATTATATTATATTATATTATATTATATTATATTATACATCCAATCTTATCTGATCGTAGCCGTAACTGCACATCATCTGTGTATGGATTCCGGAGATGATCTTCGTGCTGATTCAGCCGTTTTTTTTGCGACCCCGAGCTACATCGCACATCTATTTTCATGTTCCATTTTGGGTTGAGGAAACTCCGAACTTTGAATGATTTTGAATGATGAATCATGTTGAACCCATTTGAAGCCCACTTCTGGAGATTTTTTTCAAGACATCTCATGATATATGGATGTGGGTCAAAACCCTGTACCCCCAGTGAACCTCAAGGTTGATGGTCATCCCTTATACCACATGATTAGTAGGTTTTGACCCATACCCATATCATAGACTGTATCACCAATACAGCCGATGTGGAGTCACAGCGTTCCGCGGCTCCGCGTCCACAATGGAGTCATCTCCGTCATCTCCCGACAGATTCGCCTGCCCGAATGCTACGAGCTGCTCACGGGCGACTTGAATTTCTATTCCCCGTGCCTCGCAGCAGGGACTGGTGGGAAGTTTCACACAGGAAGGGACCCAAGGGACCCAAGTTCGAAAGGTTTCAGTTGGTGCAATCGGGATAGGGTTTAGGATGGACATAGCATGACATAGCTACAGTCGTATGGTGTGAAAGCCAATAAATGATGTAAATTGGTGTGTACTTTCTTGTTGGATTATGCACTTTCTTGTGAATTACAAGTTTCAGAATGCATTCTCAGTGGTAATGGGATAACTCCAATCGCAAACCATCCCAAATTTATCCGAGGGAATAAGCTGAATGAACGAAGATACCGAAGTAAATTGCGGTAAAAATGGTCGGTGGGACCACAATGCAACTGCAGGAACAAAAACCTGGTTGGTGGTTTGGAACATTTTTTATTTTCCCGTATATTGGGAATGTCATCATCCCAACTGACTTTCATATTTTTCAGAGGGGTTGAAACCACCAACCAGAAACCTTGCCAAGAACTGGGGAGCTCGATGGTTCGAAGTCTGAAGCCACTAAAAAAAGGGGAACGAAGATCCTCCAGGTCGAATGACCCGGCGGCAATGGAGAAGTTGGATGAAACAGGCACTGATCACTTCACAGCGGGTCCTTGGGGCGGAGAAGTCATAGGAATTTGCCAGCTATTCCTGCGGGAAGAAGGGATTGAACTATAGATATCGTGAGATTGCCAAATCATAAGGTGACCATCACAGCTTTTGGGTAACCGTACACAGCAAAGACGCGGGTGAAATTCTGCAGCGTCCAAAAACATCAAAGTGAGTGCGGAGCAATTTTCAGCATAGGTATAGGCAGTTGCTCGGCCCAAGAAACTATTTGGAAGATGACCGGAGAAGTTTCTGGACCAGGGGTTCCAATATTCCTCAGGGTCAGACCTGACTGTTTATCGGGATGATGTTTCCAGCTATTGCCAGGCTGGCTTCCACCACAAAAAAGGGTATATCAAAGATAACGAGATGAGTAAGCAACCAGAATCGTGGATTGATCGGGCAGAATCAATTGCCCAGACAATGATAGAGAATGTATACCTAACCTTGCCCAGGGCGTTTTCATGAGTTGAATGTGTTGGGACTAAGCCACAAGTGAGAGCGCTGTAACCTGTCAGGCTTGGGTGTGGCCAAGCAAGCAGGCCTGGGCTTTGTTCACGAAATCAGCTGAACAGGTACAATTGACTCAGCCCCGTGAGACATTTCTCCGTTTGCTTTTGCTACGTTACATTACATACTTTCATAGTTTTTGGGGGCACTTCTGGCGTTTTTCCCAGTCTGATCCCAGGATGGTGTAGTGCCACGACCACATCCAGATCCACTAGCCCCAGTGCTGAATAAGCCTTGGTTGAGAAGGCTAGTGGCTTTTAGTCCAAGCTACAAATTACTATGGAAATTTAAGATATCCAGCCAAAACTCGCTAGCTTTGGGCCATTGCCCTTGGCCTCAAGTTTCAAGCTATAAGGAAATTTATTGGCTCATACCCACAGCCACGAGTGGACCGTTGGCAGGGAAGCACGTCTACGTCATCGGCCAGCGTTTCGATGCCTGGGAAAACTGGACGGCAGAGTCTGGGTGCTCAGCAGATGGGGCTGGATGAGAAGCTGCTTGAAACACAGCATGACGGGCTCGCTGCGAATGACCAGCGGGAGTAGGTTTATAATTCCAATTTTTTCCAACCACTGCGATAATATATATATATTTACATTACCTACATATACATCAGTACTATTCCATAGCTGATTCTTCCAGGCTATCTAACAGTTAGCAGGTTCACAATTGCGCTGGTTAGCAGCTTGAAGAAAACGTCCCATTGATTGGTGAGTCCGGGGTAATTGACCACCAATGGGGCTCTATACTCCCAAGCAACTCTAAGAAGTGGGGAACACTATGGAAGTGACACGATTGAAGAAATTGGAAATGGATTTGTCAGAACCTGGAAAATGTCAACCCCTGGAAAGTCTTCAGATTCCTGAAATCGACTATCAGAATGGGCTATGTGATCCCCAGTTCTTGGGACGCAGGAGGACAGGATAGGTGTGATGTCCCAAGCTTTCTGGAGGACCCATCTCAGAGCTTGATCTTTGCTACTTCAGTCCCCTGGAAGCTAATCAGCTAATCATGGAAGCCCAAAAAGTGGCTTAGGTGCCACGATTTCTTGTTTGAGATACCAAAATACCCAGCTTTGGGTTCAGATTTCAATTCTGGTTGGACAATTCCATGAGGCGAATGCTTTCATGGGGGTCGATGTTTATCTTCACTGACCAGCAGTTCCTGACTTGCCATTGGGTTTCCTTTAAAGGGACGCCACCCTTGTGAGCCGAAGGCTTTTAGTCGAGCCATACCCAACTGCCGGATGCACAACATGATTTCAGTATGCATGTACCATATCTTCTATATTAGATACGTGGTATATATATATATAATTAATTATCATTATTATTGTTATTATTATTATCATTATACACGTTCACTCCTGTTATCATCTGTTTACTGTTTGTCTGATTTGTCTTGATCGTCACTTGATCTCGATCCATTTGTGTTCTACCCTATGCTACCCTATGGACCTCACTTCAAGGTTTGTCTGAGCACCTTCTAGTCCAGGTATCCCATTCCTATCCGTCGGCTCTGCAACCTGAAGCTTGCCTTCGTTCCTTGGTTTGGGACTTGCTCCCAAAACTGGCAACATCCCCAGACCCCAAAAAAGATTCCCAATGACTTAATTTGCTTTCACGGCTTCAACAACCAAACATAAGAAGTCTGATATATCGTAAATTTTTGGATAGAGCCATCCTCATACAAAGGTAGTTGTATCCAGCTTACATGGTCAACATCCGGCATCTCTTCCATTTTCGGTCCAAAAACTCGTTTTTTCCCTACACGCTGAAGGATCCACAGGGAAACTCTTGCACTTTGGGCCTGGCGAGCCTTCTGTGTCCTTAGGTGCCACGGGTGCCTGAGAATGTCACGGGCCCTCCCAGCAATGCGTCCGGATCTGAAGCTGGAGCTGAGGGGAGCCGATTCAGCACTGCTCCATACCAAACATAGACAGCAACTCAGGGTGGGCGTGCACGAGCCGCGCTTTGTAGAGACAGACGGAGAGGCGGGGTTGGCTTGTGGGTGATAGAAAATGTGATAGTTCGAAGAATGGGATGACAATATTTCCGATGGCAGTTCGCTTCCCTCGAAAGGGCTGTCTTATGTCTTATAGTTTTTTCCTTAATGTTTCTTTCTCAGATGCTAGCAGTTATACCGTTATACCTATTAAAGGAGTTGGTAGTCTATGGGCTGAATACATATTCTCCAAACCGTCAACAGCCATTGGTTTCCCTCAAAGTGAGCCATTGTTGAGGATTCAAACAGTCCGAAATTCGCACTCCGTGGCCCCTCTCCTGGTTTTCAGAAGGTCAACTGTGACCTCCAGGTGAAGTTGCCTTGGCTGGGCGCACCGTACCGAGCCGCAGGTGTCGGCATCTCCGCGGTTGAGCTGTGGCTACTGGGGAGGATCGTAATCATCCTTATTGATCTTTAAATTGGATGATTTAAACATGGATAAACACGAGCTAGATAGTCCCAGTATCTTCCAGATGAAGCCGTGCGTTTTAGCAGGAGAAGCCCATGAAAATGGGCAATCTAACAGCGTGTTTGGAAGAGAGATGCATGGGGCAGCAATTCTGGCTCGAGACACTCAGCGCGTGAACGGCTTGCCAAACACAAAGGTGCCGCTTTGACCAGGCCTTATTGGAGACAGTCGATTGAGTTGAAGAAGTTGATGGCTGGGAAGTGCCTTTGAAATCCTTTGAAAGGATACGATCACTCAACAAGTTTGGTGATGGTGGAATGATGCCAGAAAATGAAAGCTACAAGCATTGCCACAGGAGTCAGTGCTGCAGTTGGGAGAATTGAGATGTCTGCTTTAGTAAAGTGTGGTAGAAGTCTGGTAGCACGGCTTGGATTATATGGCCTGTGGCGGTGGTTCTTGGGCACCAGGAAGTGGCCTGAAACTTTCAGGAGGCAACAACCAGTTGTGGAGATAGACCGAGATCCATGTTACTGGTCCAGCCACGTGTTGGAGAATGTTGGAGTCTGGGATATATGCTGGTAAGACTTTCGAGGAGATGTGGTAAGACTTTCGAGGAGATGTTGAGGCGATGTGCAAAATCACAGGAAGCTCGCGACTATTTGAAAGGCTTGCATGGCATAGCATGCACAGCGACAAGCCGACCAGTCTTGCAACCACCAAAGGGAAGGACGTTGGGATGAGTGAAATTTGCAATGCTTGCGCCTGATCGCAGAGATGATGTGCGTTCACTTCTCTTCCCAAACGAAACACCATTCAGACCGTCACCGAGCTGATGCAGATACTTTAGGCCGAGCCACTACCCAACAATCTTCAACATTAACCATTAATAGATGGTTTATCATATCATTATTGTTAATGGTATCATTAATATGGTTAATATTCAATATACTATACAAAGAAGGATTTTTGACAGAGGGTGGACAGAGCCAATCGAGTCGCTTCGACTTTCATCAGAAGACCTATGAGGTGCACCGATTGTGCAGCGGATCTAAAGTGAACGATGGAGATCCAAGGTTCGAAATAAAAGCACTATGAGTGAAGCTACGAAGACTCAGTCAGAGAAATCTACACCGAATCCACTTGTGCCACATATGAATATGAACGGGATGGCACAACAGTTAAATTTTCACAATACATTCAGAATACAAGCCGAAAGTCATGGTGAAACAGCAAAGCAACCACAGACACACTTTTGAACAGCTTTACAGACTTGGAGAGAGAATATGTAAACTTAAAACCATATATGACTTATGACCATAGCTCAACTATATGAGTGTTTGATACATTCTTTTGGGCTAGGAAGTTAGTTGTCTCGTGGAACGTAGGCGCTGTTTAATGGCACGTGGTTGGCTGGCACACTCCGATGAAACTCACGAAATTTTAGCCAGCACAGCAGAAAAGTGAGCCATGCGTCAGGTCTGTTGTTCACCGCGCATTCTCGATATCCCAGAATTTTGTCCATAAGACACTAATGTGTACTTGTCCGTTTTCTTGATAAGATTTTTCTGCAAACGTTGCAATTGTAAAGTTGCTGGTTTGCCCCCGGGGCAACCTTCGTAAAAAACTGCTCAGAATGGCTGGCTTCGGATGGGATCATGCCATTTTTTCTGCTGAAAGCTGTTGGTCTTCCCTTTTGTGGATTCTGACCAAAGGTGCTGGAGACTCCTCAGGCGGGGAGCCAAGGGGAGCCCGGAAGAATCCGGATGAGTGGATGCAAAAATATGGGGTTCTCTGAAAATATGGAAAACGTCATGGTGAATTAACATGAATTAACTATTTTTCCATATTTTTCCCTATTAAGCGGCTATTTTCGGGGCGTCCCCCATTTGAGGAATATGACTATGGATCAAAACCTTGATTTCCTGTTGTTCACACCGAAAGTCGGTGCTTACGGGTGTCCATGCCCTCATTCAGATAGTCCATGATAGTCCCATACTATAAATACTGACCCATACCCGTATGTAAAATTCTACTGAAGATCGCCCGAGACATGTACATCCATCATTTTGAGCCCTTGCCGGCGTTTGAACATTTTCTGATTCAGCTTCGGCAGTGGTGTATCATTCTTGAAAAGGTGGGAGATGAAAGGCACCTTCAGATGTCACTGATGACTGAAGTACCCTGAGTCACCCCAAATCACAAACTGCTGGTTGTTGACTTTTAATTCCGTTTCTGGCTATGCAGTTTGGGCAGCGATATCCATGAAAGTCATGGTACCTGGTACACACATCTTTGCTACCATACTTATATCATACTTATACCAGGAGAATGACGCCCTGGAGATATCCTGCGAACTCTAAACTCAGCCCCTCAAACGTCAGGCTTTGAAGTTTTCGGGGAATCTGAGCAGATCAGAGAGGTGCATGGTAAGGGTGGACGGTAGAGCCCCTATTCAAATTCTACGGCCCTGTAACGATCTATATGGTCTATTTTGCAAAACGGCAAAAGGTATCAAAAGGTTATAAAAGGCTTATGATATGTAATGTTTCTTTGTTCGGACATGTTTGGACATGCTTGGAATTCCGCAATTTAAACATTGCCTGCTCAGAATGGCGTTCCAAACCCAGCCCCCATCAAGGTAATCTTACATTATATATATATATATATATCCACAGTTTTCCAGAGTAAACATATCTGAATATATTGGAAAAATGTGATTTCCTGCACCTGCCAGTCCAAACATAGCTATCACTGGCTATCACCATTTTTGGCTGAGACGCCCCCCCACGTCACGATGATGTCCACCACGCCCACTACCGATACTGTCACGTGTACCCTCGCACACCAGTTGGTAGATTTGTTCCCACGTCCACAATACATCCCATTTTAGGCATGGGGGAAGTTGGCATGCAGTCTTTATGAATGAAAATTGGTGTGGCCGGTCAGGTCTAGCAGATACTGTAGGTGTGCGCGATGTATGTATGCATGTAGATGTATACATGTATATACGTACTGTAAATTGAATATGCACTATATATATATACACGGTATAATTACACAGTACTGATATAGTCGTTGCTATATATATATATATATGTATTGTACACTTGAACTTTATAAATGGGCTAACGCCCTGGTGCCGCCGACCCCGTTTCAAGGGTGGAGGAAGTAGTGCGCAGACATAGAGCCACTCAAGAAGCCCAGCAAACGGCTAGGCCTAAACATTTGGAGGGTTTTGGAGCGTTTTAAGGGTTTGGAGGGTTTTAAGGGTTTGGAGGGTTTTAGGGCTGGCAAACGGCAGACTTGGACGCCCATAAGAAGCCATTGATGTGTGGCCCTGGGGTGCCGGTTGGCTGCAAGAGTGGCCATAAGAAGCCATTGATGTGTGGTGCGGGGTGGCTGTTGGCTGCAGGATGAAGCATGCCAAGTCAACGTTTTAAGGGTTTTACGGTTTTGAAGGGTTTGGAGGGTTTTAAGGGTTTGGAGGGTTTGGAGCGTTTTAAGGGTTTGGAGGGTTTTAGGGCTGGCAAACGGCAGACTTGGACGCCCATAAGAAGCCATTGATGTGTGGCCCTGGGGTGCCGGTTGGCTGCAAGAGTGGCCATAAGAAGCCATTGATGTGTGGCGCGGGGTGGCTGTTGGCTGCAGGATGAAGCATGCCAAGTCGACGTTTTAAGGGTTTTACGGTTTTTAAGGGTTTGGAGGGTTTTAAGGGTTTGGAGGGTTTGGAGCGTTTTAAGGGTTTGGAGGGTTTTAGGGCTGGCAAACGGCAGACTTGGACGCCCATAAGAAGCCATTGATGTGTGGCCCTGGGGTGCCGGTTAGCTGCAAGAGTGGCCATAAGAAGCCATTGATGTGTGGCGCGGGGTGGCTGTTGGTTGCAGGATGAAGCATGCCAAGGCAACGTTTTAAGGGTTTTTTTTAAGGGTTTGGAGGGTTTTAAGGGTTTGGAGGGTTTGGAGCGTTTGGAGGGTTTTAGGGCTGGCAAAGGGCAGACTTGGACGCCCATAAGAAGCCATTGATGTGTGGCCCTGGGGTGCATGTTGGCTGGGGTGCCTGTTGCCTGCAAGAGTGGCCATAAGAACCGGATGGCTGCAAGAGTGGCCATAAGAAGCCATTGATGTGTGGCGCGGGGCTGTTGGCTGCAGGATGAAGCATGCCAAGTCAACGTTTTAAGGGTTTTACGGTTTTTAAGGGTTTGGAGGGTTTTAAGGGTTTGGAGGGTTTGGGAGCGTTTGGAGGGTTTTAGGGCTGGCAAAGGGCAGACTTGGACGCCCATAAGAAGCCATTGATGTGTGGCCCTGGGGTGCATGTTGGCTGGGGTGCCTGTTGCCTGCAAGAGTGGCCATAAGAACCGGATGGCTGCAAGAGTGGCCATAAGAAGCCATTGATGTGTGGCGCGGGGTGGCTGTTGGCTGGTTAGCTGCAAGAGTGGCCATAAGAAGCCATTGATGTGTTGCGCGGGGTGGCTGTTGGTTGCAGGATGAAGCATGCCAAGGCAACGTTTTAAGGGTTTTACGGTTTTTAAGGGTTTGGAGGGTTTGAAGGGTTTGGAGGGTTTGGAGCGTTTGGAGGGTTTTAGGGCTGGCAAAGGGCAGACTTGGACGCCCATAAGAAGCCATTGATGTGTGGCCCTGGGGTGCATGTTGGCTGGGGTGCCTGTTGCCTGCAAGAGTGGCCATAAGAACCGGATGGCTGCAAGAGTGGCCATAAGAAGCCATTGATGTGTGGCGCGGGGTGGCTGTTGGCTGCAGGATGAAGCATGCCAAGTCAACGTTTTAAGGGTTTTACGGTTTTTAAGGGTTTGGAGGGTTTTAAGGGTTTGTAGGGTTTGGAGCGTTTTAAGGGGTGTGGCGCGGGGTGGCTGTTGGCTGCAGGATGAAGCATGCCAAGTCAACGTTTTAAGGGTTTTACGGTTTTGAAGGGTTTGGAGGGTTTTAAGGGTTTGGAGGGTTTGGAGCGTTTTAAGGGTTTGGAGGGTTTTAGGGCTGGCAAACGGCAGGCTTGGACGCCCATAAGAAGCCATTGATGTGTGGCCCTGGGGTGCCGGTTGGCTGCAAGAGTGGCCATAAGAAGCCATTGATGTGTGGCGCGGGGTGGCTGTTGGTTGCAGGATGAAGCATGCCAAGGCAACGTTTTAAGGGTTTTACGGTTTTTAAGGGTTTGGAGGGTTTTAAGGGTTTGGAGGGTTTGGAGCGTTTTAAGGGTTTGGAGGGTTTTAGGGCTGGCAAACGGCAGACTTGGACGCCCATAAGAAGCCATTGATGTGTGGCCCTGGGGGGCCGGTTAGCTGCAAGAGTGGCCATAAGAAGCCATTGATGTGTGGCGCGGGGTGGCTGTTGGTTGCAGGATGAAGCATGCCAAGTCAACGTTTTAAGGGTTTTACGATTTTTAAGGGTTTGGAGGGTTTTAAGGGCAGACTTGGACGCCCATAAGAAGCCATTGATGTGTGGCCCTGGAGTGCATGTTGGCTGGGGTGCCTGTTGCCTGCAAGAGTGGCCATAAGAAGCTATTGATGTAGCTTGATGGCTGCAAGATGGGTTTGACCGTGGAAAGCGAAGAAGGAGAAGTTCCACACCTGCGGTGGTCCCAGGCGCCGCCCCTGCCTTGGCCAAGGCCGGGGTCGGCGGATATATATAATATATATATATATGGAAATTGTTGGTTTACTGTATCCGACCTTTTGGACACGACTGAAGCTAGATGATTCTGTGATCACTCAGTGAACATCAAAAATTTGAAGGACAGACAGCCAGCGGCTTCGTGGGAAAGCCACTTGGTTGGAGAATCACTTCAAGTTCAAGGCAGCTGCGTGATCGTTTCTGGTTTTTGAACGGGATGGCAACCTTGTTCTGTGATGTTCTTTGTACTTATAGTTTGATTTTTTGTTCGATCATATTTCACGTTAAAGCAACCAACGTGTTTTAGCTGCATCGAAGCTTCCAATCAACCTTACATGTTCTTCTATGTTGGTTTTCTGGATGATCATCACCGCGGGTGAGACCCACACATGAAGTTTGGGGCGAAATCTGCGGTTGCTGAGCTTTTGCCAAGTTTGATGCCATTTGTGGAAGGCCTTTTCCTGGAATTCCACCTTGGACTTGGAGGTTCTGTCTTTAGGTTCTGGTCATCATCTCAGATTTTCACCAAATTCCATGGCCATGGCCATGGCCGGGGTTTTGGCGGGGCCGTCCTGTGGAATGAGGTGATCCTGATACCTTGGGATGCACTTCAGTGGACTTTCTCTCCCTCACACCTGGCAAGTGGCACGTGCTCAAGGACCCCAACCGGGCGAGGATGAGCCGCTCGCCGCTCGGGATGTCGGGTATATGTCAGGTGTGTGTTACAGGAGACATATGTGTTATGTTGTTACATATGTCAACAAATATCATATATATATATATACGTATATATATATATATGTATATTCTGTATATATAATATTATGTGCATGTAACAAAGAAAATGAGCAATGAAGTTAAATACTTGAAGCAAAATCACAGGAGTGCATGCATGGTCTAGTCTCAGGGATGGTTTTCCTTCATGATGCTTTGTAGCATATGGGATCAGAAGGGGTACATATGGGTTCATGTCGATCAGGAGCGGGTTTGGGGCAGTACTTGTGGAAGGACTCCGCCTCAGCAATTTTATCGGCTTGGGAAAGTAGCTGTGCCATGGTGGTTGTGAGTGTCACACCTCAAAGGTTGGAAGTTTGGGCCTTCGTCACAATGTGCCGGTTGCCTCAGGCTGTGCACTGCTCCATGCTGCACCATTTCTAGGAACATCTAGGAATGACTCAAGACTTGACGACTTGAGTGCATCATTGCATTGCTAAGGTCCTCCATCACCTGTACCTGAGGTGTTGAACCAAGGGGTGACCCAAACTGAGTCAGGACATTTGAGACAGGGAAAAGCCATGGATAATAAATACGACATACCACGTAATGTGCACATATGTGCACTGTATGCATTTGCACATGTACTGCATCTTTCTCAAGACTCCCAAAACCTTTTGGGTTCAAACCTCTTGAGCTGGGGAGACACTTTTTCAAGGAGTGACTCCTTTTTTTTGACTCTACTCTTCACGTGAGCAGAGTCCTTTAGGGAACATTTGGTGGCCAGGTGGTGATTGCTGATACCATGCCCAAACCAACACAGAGGCGCGGAGATTGTTGCGGCTGGGACCAGGTTGGCATTTACAGTTCTGGACCCGCAGATGTGGACATAGCTGGTTATCCACCACCATCATCACCATCATCATCATCATCATCAATAATAAGAATCATCAATGATAATAAACATACGTATTCATCAATGATAATAATAATAATACTGTAATCATCATCATCATCATCATCATCATCATCATCATCATCATCAGACTTGCGTGCACCTGCCAGGGAATTGCAGAAGATGCACTTGCAGGCACGTGATTTGCGCGCTACCAGTCTACCAGTGCCAAGGTGGGGAAGAAATATGAAAAAATGGGGCCCTTTCCTGCCGAGGAACTTGTGAGGGAGGAAGCGGCAGTGCCCCAGACTTCAAAAGCGTCGCGCGAAGGAAAAAGTCAAAGGGCCTGAGACTCAGAATGGGGTCCGGTGACCATCGGTGACCATCGGTGACCGGGTGCGGTTTCAACATGTTGAAAAACATCATATTGCTGAATTCGAGGTGTTTCAACATCTGTTTCAGTTTTTTGGATGCTGGCTGGGTTTCTACAGGAATTGCAGAGGAAAGAGCTTGAGAGCTTGCTGGAGAGCCCGACTCATGAGAAGCAGAAAGAGGCGCTTGTTTTGGAGTGTGGTGTGGACATGATTTGGATTTTCGCAGGTGGAACACGTACATCAAAAACATGTCCACAGCCTAAGAGATCCTAAGAGATAATGATGACCTAAACAATTGTGATATACTATAAAGCTGCGTGGGTGCAAAGTTTGTGGTGGGTCCCAGAACCATGTTTGCAGCACATTAAGAAAATTACATTGTTACCAAGATGTTAGCACACCCAACCATGCCAAACCAAACCTTCCCCAGTTCCAAGTGGGTTCAGTTGGTCAGCGGCTTTCATGAACCATTGGAGGCTAAGATGAAGTCTCTCGAAGCGAAAATTGCAGAGATGCAGGTGCTGACTGGGTTTGACTTGCTGTTGGATCTGTTGGTCAACCCGTTGACCCAAGCAGAAAACGCAACTTGGTTTCCCAAATGCCACCAAAGGATTCTGTAAGTTGCTGTAGAGTCGTAGAGATTTCTGATTTCTCACGTTGGAAGAAGTGGATCTTCGTACTTTCTTGGAACCTGTTGGGCAATCATGGCATCACTTGAGGCTGAACTCGAAGCCATGAAGTCTGCAGCCACTCGGAAGATTTCAGTCATCAGCATGATTTACCGTGCATGAAACAATATGACGCATTCATAAATCATGTGTCTCTGCATTATAGGTACTCATACTGTATGGTACGGTCACATACGGAAACCATTTTAGTTAGTATCTAGTGCTGTCCCTTGAAGCTGACTCTGCAGTGCCCAGCTTCACGCGTGAAAACCAAGCAGGGGGGCTGCTGTTTATCCATTTGTTTATCCATGATATTGTTGGTTGTCTATCCCATGCTATTCTCATGAAAATTTGATTAAAATCCATCCATTTCATCGCATTTCTGCTAAAAATCATCAAACAGCACCATTTTACACAATCAGTAAACTTCAGTAAACCCATCATATCCCCATCCCCATCATATCCCCATCATATCCCCATGCTTTCCATTTTTTGAATCAAGAACACCCCAAACCCACAGCGCCCCAAGGGCACCTCTGCGAGACAGAAACGCGATCAGCCACTGGGAGACAGTGGGAAATCACCCGCCGGGCAACGTTGGAGCATTATCCCATGAAACCCCCCTTTTATCCCCATGAAATGATGGGTTGAATCCCCATGAAACCCCCCTTTTACCATCTGGTTATGACTCACATAGCCATGGAACATCACCATGCTATTAATAGGTAAACCATCAATAAATGGGCCATGGCTTCCATGGCTGTGTTAAATAACCAGAGGGTCTAGGAAATTCTAAGGAAAATTTGACATAGCTGTGGAAAATGGACGAAAATGGTCCATTATGGTCCATTTGTGACTTTTTTCTCAAGAGATTGTGGGAACAATATAAACAATATAAACTAGCCTTGATGAAAATAGCCCAAATATTGGTGGGCACTGCTGGAACCAGATGGGCCCCAAAAGCAACTTGCCGACGGCCACATTCGCAGATCCAAGGCAGTTATTGGGGACCGAATGTGGTGAACCAGGTAAGGCTTGAGACGATATGAATTCAATATGAGAGTGACACAATGTGACACCGACGAAGCAACTTACTAAATCGCATGGTAGAAGTTAGAAGTGGGGAGCAAGATCCCAACCTAGAAATCAAACCAACTAAAATGACAGACCCGGAGAGACAAAGGTGTGTATGCCTCCACTGTGGTACCACAAGACCAAGTGGATTGATCAGCAAAATTGGTCATCGGAGATGTCTCGTTTAATCAACTGGTGCCGGTCGCACTTCGACCAGGAGAATATTCGGAACAAAGTTTCCCATCAATTTCTCATAGCAGCGCCAACACTTCGCAAATGAAGGGATTGCTCAACATCACAAGAGTTCGGAGGAAGCCCGGCACAAAAATGGTTGATTTCCCAAACATATGCTTGTCGAACATTGCCTATTTATAGATGATATTATGATATAGATGATTTGCTACTTCTTATATAAATGGTGACTTTCCATATGTTAAGTTACCAGAGGGTATCTGGGGGATTCAACCCATTATTAATATTATACACATATAATTATAAATTCTATGATATGAAATACTCAAAATTGCGAATTTACCCTAAGGCAAGTTTATATAATGGTAATTAGTGGGATGTTTTGGAACCAAAACAGTTACTGTACATTTATTGATATTTGGCTGTACATGATGGGATGTTTTTTCGTCCATCCAGATGCTTGATCATCGTTTTTTCCTGATTATTCTTATACATACTAGTGCCCGTATCGGTCATTAATCATCAAATTCTTGACCCAGACCCGGCCCATTTTTGGCATGAAACCATTTGTTGTGGGGTTTACCCTCTGATAATTTAACATAGCTATTGAAAATCACCATTTTTAATGGGAAAATCCACTATAAATGGCCATTTTCAATAGCTATGTTAAATTACCAGAGGGTAATCGTTTTGTCCGATATAGGGTGGATAGAGACGGGGCTTCAGAATGCTCGATGGAGAAAAACGGAAGATGTTCGGCCACTAAGGAAGAGGATGGAACGTCCGGCGTCTCAGTTGCCAGTGCAAAATCCAGGATTTTCATGGATTTTCAATCGTTGCATATGTTTGCCATTTTTTGCCCTTATCCAAACACGGGCACCCCATTCGATCCAATGGCTGATCAGGTTGATCATTTTGTCCCTAATTATTAAAATTGCCTTCTTGGGGATATATCTCCATAATTTAGAGCGAGGGCTGACGAGGTACGAGGTGAATCTTTGCAATTTAAGCGAGGTGAATTAATTAAATTCAGAAAGCGAGGTGGGCAGAAATTGCTTTCAAAGCATGTGTAACGAGTGAAAAAAAACTTTTCGTGCTCCAGAAAGTTTTTTTTGTTCCCATCAGAGTTGAAAAAAATAGAAAATTAAGGGAGCATTCAGACCCCGTGGAAAAAACTTTCTGGAGCCCGAAAAGTTTTTTTTTATCGTAATTTCAGTCAGTGCCCTGTGGTGGCATGCCCGGTTGTTCCAGGACTTCCGTATTTGTTCTACAGTGAAATCACTGTTTAAGAATCCATTGCATTAAGAACCTCAGGGGCTGGATTGCTGGATTCAACTCTGTCTACCAGCTAATTTAAATAAGAACCCTAGGGAACCCTGAAATTTTGGTCAATAGTTCTTATTCACCTTTCCCAGGTAGCGCGACTAGATTCTAAAATTGCTAAAGCTTGAGGTGTAGCGGGGTATCTTGGTGCTGCTGCTGCAGCTTCTCTTCTCTGGGGTCGAATTTGGGGGAATCGAGCCCCTGCAAATCCGCTTGTAAAAGAGGCATCTTGGAAACAGGTAAAAACTTTTTAGGCCCTGAAAAGTTTTTTCAGCATCCCCAAGCCTCTGGAGCCCAGAGCGTTGCTGCAACGACGACAAAGATAATTCAAAAAAGTTCAACCCAAAAGGAGGCAGAGGACTAGTTCGAATGGCTTGCGGTCGAGAAAGAAATGGGACGAGGGCTGAAATCCGTTTTGAATGTAACGAGGCGAGGACTGAAGATTTAATCAGAGGGGAAAAGTAGATTTAAGACGAGGAAACCGTTTTGAATTTAAAGTAAATTTTGCAGATATATTATATAATATTATATATATATATTTATTAGAGGACAAACCCGACAAACCCATGACTCCAGTCCATTTCTGCACCGCAGCACTGTGCAATGGAAGGTCATGGGAATGTGCCCATGGCGGGAATTGACAAATTCCGATCCGCTGGCAAGAGGTTGGCAAAGGGCCCCTGGAGTCCCCAGTGATGTGTGTTGCTTAAAACCCCATGTAACATCATGTAACCACAGATGCACCATTCATCCTAGTCAGCCCAGTTATAAACCAATTGACCTAATTATCTTGCAGGCCCCTTGCTTGACTTTCACTTTCTTTTGGGTTTTCCATGGTTCCCTTGGACTCAAATAGATTTGTTCATTTGACCAAATTCGAATACGGAAAAACGTCTCGTTCACTTCAATGCTTCAGAGTTGCACTGCCCATCAAGGGTCATTGGTGATACCTGCACTATTTGATACTATTTCATAGTATTTGCAGTGTTCACATTGCAAATTTTTATGAAATAGTATCAAATTGTTTGAAATGTTCGTTCGCCACAAATATCTATAGCCTATAGCCTTTTATTTGTTGTCCCATGATTCAGCACGTGGCCGTCCTCTCAGTTGGGCTCAAAGATGACCGCCAGACATCTCGGGCACCTGACCCTGCTGGCGGTTTCGCTGCTTGCGAGTGCACAGTACCCCTTGGTTCCGCCAGAGATCTCTGAGCAGTGCCTCTGTGCTGAGGAGGAAGGTTCTGGATGGAGCAGTGAAGAAAATCGCTGTTTGTCGAGCTCGGTGACCAGTTGCTTGGAATGTCCCACTCGCCAAAGCTGCGCTCAGATCGTGGATTTGGCAGGCGTGGAGAAAACACGATGAAACATGATGAATCTCATGGAATACGAAGTATTTGTATAAAGAGGAGATGAACCTGCCCCGTTAACAAAATATGCTGGTTGACAGAAGAATTCCGATCTCACAGGACCAAATCTGATTCTGCAGGGTTCTTCAAAGTTCAGTACCGAAAGTACTTGATCATGCAAGGGCTTCAACATTCAGGTTGAACATTTAGCAGGATGATCAGACCGTGGCAGGGGATGGGCTTCAGATTTTTTATGGTGACTGCCGTGGTGGTAGTAGCTGCGTGCCGGCGACTGAATCTTCCTTTGGCTTTGCGGTGAGCATTGCAGTGGATCAGCAGAACAACGTGTATTTCTCCGATCAGGGCAACAATCGCATCCGCGCTTGGGCTGCACTTCAGATGTTGCCCTTGCCCTGCAATGGGGGATCAGTGGGGATCCTTCTGGTAACAGATACGTGATCCAAAGCATTGGAACAAGACCGCCTGTAAACAGCAGAGACAAGACAAAGCCAGACAAGACCAGACAAGTCGGCCACAAGGGAGCAACAAAGTTTGGTTTATATAGAATGCTCTAGATTATTTACATCCGGGAAAGAGTCTCTCGGTGCCTCAGTGCCTCACTTCAAAAGCCATTTCACGATTCTAAATTAGAGGTACCTACCATACAAAAGGCTTATGTAAGGATTAAGTAAGGGCATTATATATATATATATATATATGTGTGTGTGTGACAATGTAAGGGAATATCCCCACAAAACAGGGCCTTATATGGTACAGAACCCTTCATTTTAGGGTTCTGAAATTCCCATTGGCGTGGAAGCGCCTTTCCAATACCGGTTTTGCCAGACTTGTGACTTTGACAGTCACAACTGCCCATAATTCTCCACAGCCACAGTTTTCTGGACCTGAGAGTCCGGTGCCACCTGTGCAGCCCGCGGCCAGTCCATGGGCCATTCGTTTCCATTGAAGCATGAAGAATGGTGAGCAGTGCAACAAAAAAATAACTGGGTTACATAAGTTACATATTGATTACATAATGGGCAATCCACAAGAAGGCCTTTCCAATACGCACCAATGGCTTGTACCATTTCCCTTCGTTGGCACAGCCATTAATCGGGTATGCTGAGGCATGCTCGACGTCAGCCAGAATGCTTTGCTGACGATTGCCGGTACTGGTGGTGTTGGCTTTGCTGGGGACGGTGGCTTGGGTCGTGAGGCACTGCTGAGACATCCGGAAGGTCTCGCCTTGAAACCAAACCTAGCAGATGGTCAAGAGGTGCTTGGGCAGAGGACAGATGATGGCAAGAAATACTCATCAATTACTTTTCGGGCGATGTGGTTGTTTGATGTTGTTTGATGTTTTATCATTGTTTTGTATGTTTTAGTCTGGTTTCGCTTCTGCCACTTCAGTTCATGGTGGTGGCATGACACCCATGCAAAGCACCTCTTGAAAGTATCCCTCGTGTTCCCCAGTTTCCTGCAAACAACCAGCGGCAGCGGTTGTGTTTCTGCATGTAAAACTGCCAAGTCGTGGCGATTCGCCAAAGCTTCTGACCGTGTTCATGTGCCAGGTCTACTTCGCAGACTTCTTGAATCAACGCCTAAGAAAGCTGGTGAAAAGCGGTACCGGTAACGATTGGTATATTTACACAGTTGCCGGCACTGGGGTATCTTGGCCTATTGGTGGTTTTGTTCAAAACTGCCCGTCAAAATTATTCAAACAGCAGCTGTTGTTTTTTTTTCCAGTGCTTTTTGTTTGGAAGATAGACGTTGAGTCCAACAGAAAGAAGCGAAGCTTTATCCGGTGCTGTGCGGAAATCACCATTCAGATCTGTGGGTGATCTCTCAGTCCGTGATGAACAGGTCATGGCGACGGATGATTCTTGCGACACAGGATGTGTGCCTTTGCTTGCGACCAGCCTGGGTTTTGCAAGCTGACGTGCGGTATCCATCAGAGAAACAAGCATTTCAAACATATCACTGGGATTTCTGTGTTTTCTGGGTGCAGAATACACCGCATCTCAGGTGGCGGTGCAAGCTAGCCTGTGGAACCCAAGGGCATTAGCCTTCGCTTCCAATCAGGAGCTGTGTCGCTTGGGATGACCCGCTTCACAGCTCGACATAGCTGGTATGGCTAGTGTATGGCTAGTGTCAGTCGTGTCAGTCCCAGCATTTTCATGAACTGCTTTCCCCGAAGCCCGTTTGACATTCGGCTGGTTCCCAGGATCTGTATTTCCTGGACTCTGGAAGCAAGAAGATCATGAAGCTCAGCACCAGCATCGGCGATCCCAGCCAAAACCCTGCTGCAATGATGATCACATTCGCAGGACATGGCCTTCCTGCTGGAGCCAATTCCCTGGAGGGCAGCTTCTTTGTCTGAACATCTAGGGGGACAAAATATATCAAAATATGATAAACGAGGAGAAGGAGGATAAGAGGCAGAAGGAGGAGTTGTGCCTTTGTAAAAATCTAGAGACCCTCACCTGGCAGGTGGGGAAAAAACAACAGAGGAATGGTATAGGAAATCACTTTCCTCGGTAAAATGCTTCGATTTTGGTGTATCTCCCACAATTTGTCCATAGGGGAAGGCAAACCCGCTCGTTGGTTTAAAGATCTTTGAAGACTGATGTTGACATATGTTGACGTCCGGTCCCTTCCTGAGACGAGTCCTGGCGATGATCAATACCTGCCAAGGGGATCCAAGGGGTAGAAATATGTTGACTTGCTGATAGCTTGAGACAATTTGCAGTTCTGGAAGGAGTCCTGATAGATGCAGCCGGCAAGCAGTTGAGCTCTCCTATTAAATCTATTAACTTGAGAGAAAGCGTGATGCAGTGATGCAATGTGATGCATCTTTCATGTTTTTCACATACGATGAGCACTATAGATGACATCTATAGACAGTAAAATGGTAAGTTGTCGGCCTCCATTCTGGGAATCCTGGGAATCCTGAGGCTTATGGCCATCCTTTCGTGGCATTGCGAAGGTGGCTCTACCTGGCCATTACAGTGTGCCAAACAGTGCCCTGCTGCTCAGTGCCCTGCTGCATCCCAGTGCTTGCCCTCTGGTTATTTAACAGTTTGTTGTGGAAAATTCATGAACACCCCATATCCATAGATAGAAAAACATGACAAACAAAATGTGATTTTCCAGTTCGCTACGTCAAATAACCAGAGGGGTATATATCTCATACTGTAGTATCTATTTTCAGTATATTCAGTGAATAGGGGACGTTTATTTGGATATACAGATGAGTTACCCTCTGGTAAATAAACATAGACCCTGAAAATAGCCAATTTTTAATGGAAACTAGTCTTCCAACCCCTATCTGCCAGGGTCTATGTTAATTTCTAATGTTGGAATTCCCAATCTTCCATTCTTCCATTTTTTCGATCTAGCTCAAAACATGTAGCTGGCTCAATTTCATCAGGGGTATGTTTTGACAGTCACCTTGGGCTTTTTCAGAGGTACCATATCTAGTACTAAAGTAATCAGTGGGGATTGAACCTGGCAATTTAATGCAATTTAACAGATTGGGAAGTTTCTGCGAGCTCGCTCAACTGCAACGAGCTGGCTCAGCACCATCGAGCTCGCTCAATGCCACGTAGCTGGCTCAGGGGCATCGAGCTAGCTCAATGGCATCGAGCTGGCTCAATTTTTTTAGCGAAAAAAAAAAAAACCTCGCAGAAATTGAGCCAGCTACGTCACGTTGAGCTGGCGGACGAATGTGAGAGCATCAAAACGAATACTAGCTATGTATTGGCCGGGTTCATGACGCATTGGCGAGCCGGCTCAAGGGCATGTAGCCGGCTCAATTTCTGCGAAGTTTTTTTTTTTTCCGCTAAAAAAATTGAGCCAGCTACGTGGCGCTGAGCCAGCTACGAGGCGCTGAGCCAGCTACGTGGCATTGAGCCAGCTACGTGGCACTGAGCCAGCTACGTGGCACTGAGCCAGCAAGGTAGCTTTGAGCTTTGAG